ACACCCATCCTGCCTGTAAAATCAATACCAGAACCACAAAACGCTCAGCGCAATGACAAATTCAGGACATAGTTTGCTTCGAGGTATGGGAAGTACACCAGCCTTTCTTCTAAATGCTTGCATTTTTCTCTTCCTTACAGCGGTCGCTTGATAGTCCTAAGAAAACGGGGTCATGCTTTAATTGAATTTGAATGATGACACTAATGGATTTGAATGGTCCGTGCTTGGATGCAGATCCCGGAATATGACCCAGGGCAGCTAAAAGCCTTGAAGATCATATTGGAGAACATACCTTCTGTCCATGTATAACTGTCCTTTGCTTATATCTTCTTTTGTGTCTTCATATGCATGAATATATCATAACAAAGTGGAACCTATTTTTTTTTCTCCTTTCTATCTCTCGATGTGTCTCTTGCATTTTTTTTAAATCCCAAGTTAACATGTCATGTTGTATGTACTAGATTTTAGAAGCAGGATGTATTCCTTCTTCCCCTTCTTTCTGCCAAGTTGGTTCTTGATACTTTTGTACTTTTTTTTCACTAAGCCAATTCCTGAATCTTTACTATAAATGTGCCCTATCTGAACTATATTTTAGTTAAACTTGCCAAACTCTTCTGTACCTTGTGAGTTTATAGCATTCTTCTCTCTGCTTTTGAAAAATATTTGTAGGACATATTGGGATCAAATTCTTCCTCTCTGGTGCTCCCTTTTTAAAAAAAAAAACGGTACAGAACACTAAAGCTATATCATGTCAATGATGTGAAAAGTTTGGACAGTTTCACCCACAATGCCTTAAAGATCATGGGTATAATATTACACGCCGCATTTTCTCAGAGACTTTTAGACTTCCTAAAAGATCTGTCATGGATTTTCGGGTACTAGGTTCTAACCACATTTTCTATCAAGTTTAAGTTCCGCTCAGTTGAGAGAACAATGATATAAATACGCAAAGATTTTATATGCATCATGACACTAATTTTCCTGACAGTTTTTGTAATAAATGGAATCAACATGAGAAAACAGAGTGTGGGTTTTCTGTCTGTTATTTTCAGAGTGAGATGAAGCTGTGGGTGGTTTGGACAGCAATGGGAAGGTAAGTAGATGGTAGAATTCTTTCTTGAATCTTTTGAATTTTGAAAAAGAAATGAAGCAGCTAGACTCTGCTAGGCAGGGGTACAACCCTCTGACTGCCTCCTTAATAGCCATTTTTCAAGACCTGACCGAACCCCATTTAACTCTTGCCTTCTTTACTTCTGAAACGAATTTTGCAGATTCTTTTCACCAGCTTTAAACATTGCCACGCTTACCAGTAGTAAGTGCTCTCCATTGAAAGCAGGGTCAGCCGCCTTTTCCAGCCCAGCAAGCACATCTGGAATATCTTTGGCGGGACGGGGGCACATCTGGAATATCTTGGCTGGGTGGGCACATCTGGAATATCGCGAGAGCGTGGATGCTGTTAGAAAAATCCATGCCCGAGTTGTTTGTTCAGATGTTGCTGTGATGGACGTGGTGAGTCACCAAGTTCCCATTCTGTGCCTCTACCAAAGCGTGGTACTCAAGTAAAACAAAGAGGCATCGTATTTACAAATCAATCCAGTAAATTCCCTTACAACCCAGTCAAGAGATATTAATGCTCAAACATCCAACTCAACCATAATGCATTTAAACAAATGCCCAGGGATAAGACTGGGCGTCTAGACAACCATAATAATTAAAGGTGTTAACCTGCAACTGTCAGCTAAATCAAGAATAGGTGGAACAACGAGACCTTAAAGTAACCTACTAATCAAATAAAAATCTCCACAGTGCCCTTTCTTGTGGCTGATGGAATTTTATCCAGACAAAGCTCTGCATGGCGATTGAGCATCGTTTTTATTTCTCAAAGGGGGCTTTGTGGACCTCAGAGGCATTCTTGGAAGTATAGGAGACTGGTGCATTGCCTCGCATTATGCCAGCTTCCCAGCAGACGTACGCCGGCGCATGCGGACGGAGCAGTTGTCAAGTGGGAGAGCGTGGCAAAGGTTTCCTTGCTTCCAGCACAGGCAACTTTGAAAGGGAGGGTGGAATAACCAACTCAGAAGAGGAGAGGTTTGTCAGAAGGTGGAAACTCTTGGTGGACTTTCAAGAATTACCTGGGTCATTATTATTGGGCTAAGATCAGGAAACGGACCAGTCCGGCTTTACCTAACTTGGACCTTCAGAACTGGACCTTCAGAGCTCATGACCAACTACCACTTTTCATTCCTTCAGGCAAGTCGCCTTTATCCCAACGCCCTCCCACTTTGGGAGGTGCTTTGGGATGGCACTTCCTGGGAATCACAACCAGGAATGGTGGGGAATCCGTGACGTTTTAGGCCCAGTATTTCTGGAAGGTGCCAAATTGAGCAATGTAGAGTTCTGCTTAGTTTGGCAGGTGGTTCTCCTCCCATGATCCAAGAGACATTGCAATCAGAAGTTGTAGAATTGAAAGGTCTATGAAGATCGTCCAACTCAATCCTTTGCTTCGTTCCATTTGGAAAAAAAAAAAATCTAAATCCCTTCTCTTGAAGCATCCATTGCCTATTAAGATCGTTCCAGTGTTGATCAGCTTTTATCACTGGACATTTCTCTTAATTCGGTGTAACCCAAATCTTCTTTCCTATGTCTTATGCCTATCGGTTCTAATCCTATGTTTCAGAATAAAGAAGGACCAAGATGCTCCCAGGCTGTGCAAAGATCAGTTCAATCTCCAAATCAAATCTTTGCAAATCTTTCAATTGCCCCAATTGAATCTCCAAACAGAACTTCCCCAATTGGATCAAATCAGATGCCTTTTCAAATGGCATTTGGAAAATGGAATCGACTCGATTTTTCTGAGTCAATTTCTCAAATGAAGTCAAGGACTTGAGTTGACAGTTGAGATCAGATTGAGCACTGCTATCTGCTGCACGATGATCCTTTAGGTGTTGGAAATACTATGTTTGAATCTCACCTTAACCTCCTGTTCCACAACTTGTCAGCATAACAAAATAATTCCGTTGCTTCTGGTGAGGCTCAGTGTCCAAATTCCTCACCCTCCTAGACATCCTCCAGTTGCCTTTTCTTTGGAATAACTTGCCATGTGACCGGTGTAGTCTCTATTTGAGTCTGACGGAAGGATTCTCCAACAATTCAAGAGCTGAATATTATTTGCCCGCTGATATTGTTTATGGTGTGGCTGAATATCTAATGTCATGTGGTTGTCAAACCTTTAAAAATCATGTGAAGATGGAAGCATTTACTGATTTCCTCTTCACTGCGTCCCTGGTCTTATTGATTGAATCAGACTGAGAGCTCATAGAGAATTACCTCCACTGAGACCATGATTGAGGCAAGCTCCATCAGTCTGGTAGGGGTGTGTGTGTGTGTGTGTGTGTGTAGTATTTTCAGGCGGGAAGTATTTTATGCAGAAAAAATGACAGCTTGCAGTAATGATGGCAACGACCCTTCCCAAAAGAAGATGTTTGATTTACAGCATCCGCTATTCACGTTCAAATAAAAACGCAGGGCACGTTTCTCCAGCCGGACGTCTTCCAAATGGGTTTTGTTCATTCTAGGAGCTCAAATCTACCTGGGGAGAGGATCTGTCTGAAAAAGGCTGGTAGACGATGTTGGTTTAAAGCCAAAGACGCTCATTACATTCATGGTTTCTAGGCCTAATTCCACATTTTTTCTACGGTTGAGATGACAGTGTCGTGGTATAACGTGACAGACTAGTTTTGCTTAATTCAGACCTTTGTGGGAAATGTTAGGAGCTGACATCTAGGCATCTGGAAGTTACCAGGGTTGCTCCTAGCTATGATCAGCCCCGTGTGAGTTCACATAATGTGAGGGCCACCTTTTCCACTAGACCCCCTGGTTCCTGCCCTCAGAGGGGGGGACTAGCCCAAAGTCCCCCAGGGAGCCTCCGTAGCTGAGCGGGGAACAGAACCTGGGTCTCCCCCCATCGAGTCCAGCACCTTAATTTCTCCCCTGGCTCCATGGAGTGGAAATTCCTCATGAAATGTTAAATGAACAACACGCCCCACCCCCCACCGCTCCCA